GGGGGCGGGATGCCCCGGACCCGCCGGGGGCTGGATGTCGCAGCGGCTGGAGCCTGTTGTCAGCCTCGCTGGCAGCTCCGCATGATGGACTGCGCTCGGCTTGTTTAGGTTTTGTTTCCAGCCACGACATTCGACCAAATTATTCTCCACGAAGGGCTTTAAAGTTTCCCAAGTGCCTGTGAAAGCCTGGAAACGCCGATAGTGATCCTATTTCTCAGCTGAGTGACCGCATTCAGCCCCAGCCGTATTGATATGCAAAACGTTCCGGGTCCCGGCTCTAAAGATGGTTTCTGTCTGCCCTGTGAAAGGGACCCATACTTTTTTAAAGCCCGGACCTTTCTAAAGCCCCACAATACCATATAGACTATGCCATTTAGAGCATCTGAAGCGACCCAAAATGTATTGAAAGCTTGCTTTGCAGACTCATTAAGACTACTCAATGGGTTCTGGCAAATACGGTGCCGGGGCTGACCGCAGGGATTAAGACTTTTGAAGTGTTACACAAACCCCCTGCTTCAGCTAATTGCTGCCCCGCAGCTCGCGAGGTCAAGTATTTGTATTCATTGCCTCCGAGAGGAGCCACTTGTGGGTCTGTCCAGGTGAAGTCTGCACTTCATTACATCGAGACAATACAAGCGGCTTGGGGTAGGAAGGGGGAAAGTGCCAGGGATGGGATCTCTGAGTGTAAGCACAAGCTTATGTCCACCACGGCAGCATTTTGGGTCATTTCTGTTGCTTTCAAGAGCTGCAGTGGAGCGATGCGCTTCCAGGCGAAGCTGCTGGGTGCAGGATGGTGGCTGGGGCGGTGGCTCTGCCAGGGTCTGTTCCAGGGTTGGAACGAGATGATCTCTAAGGTCCCTTCCAACCCAAACCATTCTATGATTCTGTGATCTGCATGGAGTTGCTCCCCAGTCACCTGTGGCACATGGGACCCAGCACCCACGTCCCGCTGGTGCTGTGCTGTGGGGTGGGTCCACTCGGCGTCATTGGGGGTTTCTGCTGGAGAAGCGGGTCGGGGCGCAAGGGACGGGCTGGGGCGTGGGGAGGGCGGGCAGCGCTCCAGCACCGGTTGCTCAACGCTCTGTGTGCTCACCACGGTCTCCACCGAAATGTTTCATTCCCTGGAGTCGGGTGGGTTCCCTGCATGGGCAGGATGGGGATCCTATCGCATGCTGATGCGACATGTGCTTCTCCTGTCTGTCCCCATGGGAATAGCCTTTGTCATCAGTGCCTCATTAAAAAAGCAGATTTAAGCAAAATCATCAGCGGATTTTCTGCAGGTGTCACTTGCACCTCTGCGGAGGCTCTTGTGCCATGTCACTGAGAGCGAGGACTGCTGGAGAAACTTTGCCTCTGTATTGTAGGTGCTTTGGTGGAGCTGCTTTGGGAGCTCTTTCGCTGGTGGCAGGCAGTGGGCTCTTAGAGAAATCTGATCTCAAACCCCCTTTGCAGCATCTTTGGGGATCATTGGTATCAGCCCACGGACCCGCCTTTGGGGTGCTGCTGGGGGGTCAGGAATTGTTCAGAAATGTCCCCAGAAATCTCCCGCAGAGGCTCAGCGCGTGTCACTGCTGTGACTTTCTGCATAAAACCTTTGGGAATAAAATTATATAAAGATGATGCTGAGCTGCTGTCTCTGCTGGCGGGCTGCGGAGGGGACACGGTCCCACCTGGATGCTTCTGCACCTTTTTCCCTTCTCTGTGTCTGTCCCACATTGCTAAAAACCCATAAACCTGGAAGGTGAAGTTCCCCCCAAGGACAGCAGGTACTTGCTCAGAGGATGATGCGAGATCCCCCCGCCCCGCGCTGGGGGAGCTGCAGAAATGCCTTTGGGGCACCTGGTAAAATGGGGGGAGTGCCGGAGCACAAGGGTGATGGAGATCCAGCTGCCAAGCGTGAAACGAAGTTTTCATCCCTGTCTTGGTTAAGCAAAGTTTCCATTTCCAGCCTCATTTATGTTTTGAAAATCCAGCTGGCCAAAGCGTTGTGGTTCCCCATGCTCTGGGCCCCCCCTTCCATCCCAACTGCTGCAGAAGCCAGTAAGAAGAGGGTTGTAAGAGCTTTCCAAAATGTTTATTTACTCCTTTTGCTTTTATACCAGATGTAGGAGGACAGAGGGGAAAAAACAAAAAAAAGGAGAAAAAAAAAGAAAAAAAGGAAAATATTTTTTTTTTTTAAAAAGGAAAAAAACCAGCTCCAAAAGGAAGAAATGAAAACTTCCCTGCCTTTGCCTAGGTCTGGAGCAGCAGGGCTGATTTGCAGTGACACTTCTCATCTGGACATGCCCTAAGAATGTTTTATAACCAGTAACAGGGAAAGCCCCGCTTTTCCCTGAAAATGCCCCACCTGTCCCCATTCCAGGAGCACCTGAGGGCTATAAATACAGGGAGGGGGAGAACAGGACCCTCCCTGCAGGACCTGCCCCAGCTGTGGGGGTCAGAGGCTGGCCTGGGTGGGGGAAAAAGGATCTGGCTGGTAAGGGGGAGCTGATGCTGCTGGGGGGGTCAGGCATCCTTTGTGCTGTGCCTTGGGGGGGCTGTAAGGGCGAGGGGGTGTTTGGGGATGGAGCGGCATGGTACGGGCAGCAGTGCTTTGGGGGGGTCTGGGGGTGTTGGTGCATCTCGAGTTTTCTGGTGGTTGTGTTTGGGGGCTCTGAGAAGAGATTTGTCTGTCCTGTGGTGCTGTCCTGCGTCTCCATGGGTGTTGGGATGCTCAGGCAGAGGGGTCTGCTTTGAAAGGGAATTTTGCTTATGGTTGGGCAGCAGAATTTAACCTCTGTGACGATATTCCAGTTTTCTGTAATATCACTGAAATCACAGCTGCTAACTGGGGGCCACTTGTGCTTCTTCGGTGCACAATGGGGTCCCAGTGGCTCTGTGAGAAGGGGACAGGAAGCAGGGCTGGGCTGTCCCCACAGGACACAGCTGCAGACCCTGCCCTGTCCCGTGCTGAGGATGGCTGGGCTGTGATGCAGACCCCTGCCCTGTCCCGTGCTGAGGATGGCTGGGCTATGATGCAGACCCCTGCCTTGCTCCGTGCTGAGGATGGCT